GAGTTAAGGGGTGAATGTGAGGCTGTGTACCATTGGTGGCGGTGTGTTGACCCCAAAAAAAAAAGACCTCCAAAGAGGTACTTTTGACTATAGGGCTAACGCTGTATTCCATGAAGGTGTGAATCGGAAGTTGGAATTTTAAAACCTCGAAATATCACCTTTATATGAAAAAAGCGAAATAATTTGGTGAAAAATAACATTTGAGAGACATTTGGAGGTATTCAGTGTTTGGCCGAATTGTTTTGAGTTAATCTGTCCAATTAATCTCACGATTTGGAATGAATTTTTTTTGTCAACCGTGTGATGCGTTCGACCGTAATTCGCCCCGGTAAGCTCCAAGCGAGCCGTTTCCAACAACCCGGCATTAAGGCGAGATAAGGTGAACCGTCACCATACAGGAGAGGAACATATTAGCATAGCGAGCGTCCACGTCTTCATCTCTCGCAGCTGGAAGACTTGACAGCATGGGCAGTTTGGAGCCTGCTGCATGCTGGGAGTGCCACTTAATGAGCTGTGTTTGCATGCGCGCCTCACCGACGCCTCCATTGTTTCACTCTCAAAGCTTCGCAGAGAGGCAAGCAAAGCGCTCTATCATCTTAATTTGCAGACCTTTTGGCAATGAAATGACGCAAACACCTCAGCTTTGTTGTTGCTCTGATGACCGATTATGCGATCGCTATCGTTGGATCTGGACTTTATCTGCCCGAGCGTGTTTAGCGTTGTCGTGTACTTCCTCGGCCAGCAGCTTCAATTTGTGCGTGTGTGTTTAATTCCCAAGCCAAAATGATCAATCGACATCAATCAACATTCCCCTTCGCTCCCCTCGTTGTTTGGCTGCAACAAAGAGGCAAACCAAATTGGCGAGTTGAAAGCCTGACACGTTGTGACGTCTTCTTTATTTCACGCAACTCTGGCTTTCCTTTTCTTGTGCCGTTTTGACAGCCAAGATGTTCTTTTCTGATAAATTCAAGGTGATTAGTTTGAATGCATAAATTTGGTTTCTTTCAGTGTCTTTCATGAGGAAACCTTCGAAAACTTAGCCAAGGAAGTAAATTAGCCCCCAACAGATAAGTGATAAAATACCAGAGCGTCATTTCCGCGATAATGGGCATTGGCAATTAGCAAGTTCAACCTTATGGATACCATCACGTCAGATGAGGCTAGGCCAACTGGCGTCAAATAACTTTTTTTTCTTCCCTTTTGGACACCAAAACTGCTGCCGTTTAGCATCTACGCCAAACTTATCAAATGTGCGGCCCGTGGGCCACAGTCGGCCCTCTATTCAATTTTATGTGGTCCCTGAAAGCTTGTGAAAAAACTTTCCTTGGCTTGCACCAACTTCAAAATCATGGTGGACATGCAGTGAAAAAAAACCCCCTGCAAAATGAAAAAACGTCAAAGCAGTACATTCATGAAAAAATAATAAAATGCTAACTTTCTTCCCCCTTCCCCCAGCATTGTATATTTTCCTACCGAAACACACCCAACAAAGATTATTTTTATTATTTTGATATAATGAAAAAAAAAATCAAAATCCGACGCATTGTGCTTCCCCCCCAAAAAAATCAGGTGTCAGGCAGATATTTTGGCAACTATTTATTCAACAATTCAATTTCATACATGAGAAGGAACCTCTAAATTAAATAAATCAATCCCACAGACTATGGGAGAAAACACACCTGGGTCATGGTGCTGAGGACACCATCATGACTGCCCAATATAATATCAATAATCATAAATGTGATTTCACCAAGAAGTTGCACTAACATGTATCGGAAACTCTGACCTTTAGTGTTGGCAGCGTAGTGAGTGACAGCGCAGCACAACTACACACTCAATGACGTCAAGATGTGCACTTACCAACAGCTGGAATTAAACAACATCGTGAAGAGAGTTGAAATGTGGCTATTTTCAGCTTCTTTCCATTTGACATCTTCCTTTGGGTCAGCGAGAGGAAGCATTTGTAAGTTATTGTATTAATATTAAGCGAGATTTTGTCATTGTGTAACAGAGGGCCCACTCTGTCCCCAATTTAAAAAACAAAACCAAAAAGAAATGAATGCAATATATTCCTGAGATGCAAAACAACAACTAATAAAGTATTAAAAAAAAAAGACAAATATCCTTAATGTGTGATCGTAAGGCCGTGATTTTTCAGTACCATAAAATTAAAGTCAATAAAACAATGAAGACTGTCCGAGATGGCCGTGCGATGCAGATTTGGAGGTCTGAGTACATGATTTCAGAGCCTTATGTGCATCCATGTGCCAAAAAGAAAGAAAAGAAAAGTCAACAGTGATGTTAGCTTTGAACGACATAATGGCCTGACTCCAATAACATCATGCTGCCCCGGTCAATACAAGGCCAGCGATGACTCATGGAAATGATGCATTGGATAGCGAGAAGGTAAAAAAAGGTTTAAAGCTTCGTTTAAAAAAACCCACAACGTTCAGAAAACTGAGCCCAGATGTGTTACAACTGCACTTGAACTCATTATTCAGGGTGAGTCAGCCTGTTGAAATGACAACTCGAGAGGGGGGGAAAAAATGTAAAAAGCTCATCGTAGCCATTACAGAAATGGTTATTTAAATGTGATAGTAGCACAAAAAAAAAAAAAAAATCCTACAAAGGTGGAATGACTTAAATGAGTTGAGGGCACACTTATTTATAGTTAGCCGAATAGCATAACTGCCCAATTTATTTTTGAAAGTTTTCGGAAAACAAAAAAACACCCCTTGATTCAACTCTTGTGGATTACCAAGACTTGGATGAAGGAAAGCCTCCACAAACCAAGAAAAACAATTTTGAGTAAGAATTTTTGTGACAGTAAATTAAAACTTATTTAGGCAATTATGCTGTTAGGCTCACATTTTCGATTGATGCGTTTTCCTTTCGGACAAAACAGCACGCTTCTTTGTTTTGAATCTGCATTTTCAAAAATGTAATCCATTTTGACCATTTGTGATGTAAAACGTTACATGTTTGTAATACAAAAAAAATGTAGTGAATACAAACACCAAAAAGAAAAAAAAAATCCTCGACAAACACGACATGCGTCGTCTACAGCCTGTAAGTGCACGATAGCAACGCCGTGTAAACATTTGAAAGAAACACTTGACGCTTTTAAATCAACAAGCTTCGGCGGCGGCAGGCAACGATAAAAGCGGATTTATTGAAGGTTTCGCAAATTGTGACTCACTTCATCCTGGCCGGCTCCAAAACATTACACACAACAAATGGCTACGCACGTGCAAGTGGTATCATGTTGATGAATAAACAGAAAGAAGAAGAGACATTTGTGGCTGACACGCAATTGTGTCTTTTTCTTTGCCAACATTCGAAAGCCACAGTATGTTGGAACTGGACTGTTAAAGAGCTCGAAAATAATACGCTGGCTTGTAATAAGGGGAATAGCACGGCAACCTCACATTTTCTCAACTATATTGGTTGACTAGCCTGGCTTTTCACTGCGCGATGAGAACTGCTAGCCATCAGCTAGCTTGTGCGCGAACCAGCTCAATCGCCAGCTAGCTCGTGAGTTAAGCTGGGCTCCTCTTGGCTGGCAGACGGCACAGGGCTTGTCTGCTGGGTCAGCGGCTCACTTGGGATTTTTAGAAAATGACAACGGAGATGTTCTGAAAGTTGTGACATCCAGGGAAGATGTATTTTTAGGGTGTAGGCAGAGCTAGCTAGCTAACCGCATGCTGCAGTGGTGGAAATGGGCCAAGTAATTATAACTATATAATTTGTAACTGCGCCATATGGCAAAGGCAACGAACGCGGGACCCTTGGTGCGTCACGTGATCCTGTTTTAGCCACGCCCCAAAAATCATGAAAACTGATGCGGCAAATAATAGATTAGCACAGTAGCGCCATCCCTGGTACTACATAGTTCTCATTCTCTTCACTGTTGTCAGCAATTATCTTCACAGATGTGCCATGTATTTAGAAACAAATCTCTAAATTCACTTGACAGGGTCTTGAAGGTTTCTTTTCTGAATACAGACTCGCATAGAGTTTTGCAATGGTTCATGTTTTAATGTATCTCAAAGTTTCACATCTGTCGTGTTTTATGATTAACAAGTGGTTAGAACATGTTTTAATCCATCTGTTTCTATGCCAAATATCCTCACTCGAGTTGCGGGTGAGCTGAAGCCTATCCCCGCCACCACCACTAAACTTCACAGCAGAATGATGACGTTTCGCCGAAGCCAACCTTGTCGCTACAGACTAATCAAACGCAAACATCTGCCTGCGTTACTGAGAGCGTGAGTGTTGTTATGTTCCACTCAAGGAGACGCCGCGGCAGTGTTTGAGTTCACTCAGTGACAAAGACATTACTTACTGACCATATTTGCATAATGCTGGAAATTGGTCACCAAATAGGAGACAGCTGGGCCAACTGTTCCATTGCCCTTGGTAACAATTGCCTCCATCTTGCTCGATTAATATACTGCTTGCTCAATGTCTTTCACACAATAGACGACGTGACTAAGTCAGCCGGTGGCTTGCTGGCAGGCAAAAATTTGGATGATTGAAAGTTTTCCATTTTTTTTTTGCAATCTCAATCAATTGTTACATTAATGAGTTCCATACCCATGGATGGGAATAATCGATTCGTTTTGTTGAATGTGTAGAATAGATTTTTGATTCATCAGTTGATTATGGTTAATTGTGTCTTTATGAAATCTTTTTGTAACATGTTTTGTCTAGTGCTGTCAATGAAAGGTGGGAAACAAACATTGCGTCTGCTATGGGGGGGAGGCAAATTATAACCTGACACTGCAAAATATGCAACTGGCATTGAAACAGGACTTCAGAACATTCAAAGAGATCATGAAAGGAAAAGAAAATCGATTGACATTTTCCACATCGTTAATCAAGGAAATTTGATCAAATGCCCATCCTTCATAAAAATTAGGAAACATCCTTCTTGTTGTTTTAAATACCTCTTCAAATAATTTAAATAGGAAAAGGAGGCCAAAAAAAAAATGTTGATGTGTTTTTACCAACTTTAGTTTTCCACACATTATTTACATGCCTTGTGCCAAAACAAAACGTCAAAATTAGCTAAATGTGTGCAATGACCGATGGAAAAAAACAAACAAAAAAAAACAATTGATCAAGTTCCTAATATACAAAAAGATTACAAGAGAGCTGGAATTCAAGAGCAATTTTCACAATCAAACACGTTTTAGCAGACACAGTACACAGCAGGGAGTTTAAAACCACTCAAAGAAAAATATTAAGATTTTTTTTTTCCTTTGTTTTCACAATTTGGAAACAAAGATTTCCACTGTCGATTTGAATAAACGAAGCACGCTCAAGGCAAATGAGTTTGAAACGGAAGGCGCCGACTCCACCTTGTGCTTTGTCCATCAATTTTGATAATTTAGGAAATAACGTATGTCCACCGAGTGAGCGTCATGTCAGTGACACACGGCTTGATTTCATGGTGAAATGAGGATGTCTTTGCTAATTGCGAGACACGATGAAACAAATGCAGAGAGAAGTGAGTTGGATTTTGGATGTAAAGCAACGCACTTCAATTTTGAGGTTTTTTATTTTATTTTTTCAGTGCGGGGGTTCCGAATGTGAATACTTCCCATTGACACCTCGGTGCTGTAAATGTAAAATATTCCATTTCGAACATCCTTGAACTTTTCTTACCTCCCTTTTAAAAGTTAAACTGCGTCATCCAGAAAAACCAAAAAAACTCCACCTGCTCTCATTTTAGTGCACATCAAAACAGAATTTACAGAAATAAAACGCATTGATCACAAAATCCCTGTACAGCATGGAACTAATGCACTCTTTTCAACCCATACTCTAATTTTCTATTTCTCTGGATTTTTTTTTCCTTCTCATTATGACATACATGACTTTACTAACTTAAATACAATTTATACAGCTAGTCGACCCGAAGCCATCACGTGAAAAACAAAAGAGGCCGTCGAGTTCAGGAATATACACAAAAAGTAGATTGGTATAGCAGATTTAGAAAATGCTGTCCTAATCTTCTCAGTGGATGAAACGTCTCATCTAGCAAATTTTTGGTGTGTACTCTCAGCTCTAAAACAGTAGCACACAACAGCCCCACTCTACGAACTACACACGTATCTGAGCAACCTTTGCTACACGAGCACCGCACAAAGCCTTCTTTCTTATCTTACACGGCTCGACATTTTAATTACAAGTCTATTTAAAGAAGGAGGGATCGTCTAAGATATTGAGTGTGGTAGATATGTATAAGGCGCGAAACAGCACAGATCATCATTGAAAAAAAAAAAACATGAAAATAAAATAATCATCAAAAGACAATGCTGTGAGCTAAGCGATGGGATGATGGTCCATCCGGGTGACCATCTACAAAAGCATTTACATTGCTACTGACTGATACATGAAGGCATTGACACGAGTTCAATGGCGTCTGTATTTTTAGGCACCGTGTTGATGTGAGCTGTGTGTGTGTGTGTGTGTGTGTGTGTGTGTGTGTGTGTGTGTGTGTGTGTGTGTGTGTTGGGGGGGAATGTGCGAGCAAAAACGAGTGGGAGTGCTCGTGGTGGTGTGTTCAGGTGTAAGAAGGGGGTGTAAGAAGCAGTCATGGTCGATATACAGATTTCCAGGGTTGAGGGCCAAAAACACGAGTGAACTTCAGCAGCGATGCCTGCACAAAATGGCCGCCGAACGATCGGGGTTAAAGATGAAGCCAAAAAGGTGGGCAAACACAGTGGGATCCTCTTTGTCTGTGCGCTGCCTCGACCGCCGGTTGGAGACGAAGGGGTGGGTGGTTGGGGGGAGGGACACAAGAGGGACGGATGCCAAGGGGAGCGCCCTCTACAGTCTAGATGAAGTACTCCTTCTTTTCTTCGGCGTGCGCGTGGTTGCCCTCAGCGTTGATGATGGCCGTGTCGGCGTCGGGTGCGTCGTCCGCCCCTTTGGCCTCGTTTGTCAAATACGTTCCTGGTGGAAACCAGAAAAAAAAAAAAAAAAAAAGCAAAGAAAACACTTTCAAAGTGAACAAATGTTCAGCTGTCTCATGTCGGATGTTTTACAGCTCAGCGCTCCTCATATTATTAATTTTCCAAAGTTGCAACGGAAGAAAGCTGGACGTTGTGGAAGTACAACAGACTTTGCTCATCTATTTACGCCAGCGATGTACAGTACAAAGACAGGCAGAACAATTCAAGGCTGCTCTAAGAGATGGAAGAATGTAGAATTTCTCTCAACGTCTGGCAACGTCTAATGGCATAGGTCGACGTCTGTGTGAGCTTTGAGAGATGCACGGCAGGATCCACGATGATTTTACCTTTATGCCTGGCCAGGTATCTTCCCAAAACAATAATTAAACACAATGTGACGAAGACCACCACAGCCACCACTCCCCCGATCAAAGCGTGGTCCGTGCCATGATGGCCCAGAGCGTTGGGATCTGAGGACAGACGGGAAGGACGCGACTGTCAGAAAAGAGAAAGAGCAAACACTGCGACAAGGAATGAAGGGATTTTCTTTCCAGTTTTCTTCAGGTGCTCGCTCCTTTCACAGAATCTCTCAGGGAATAATAAAACAGAGAGCGAGAGAGAGAGAGTTTCGGCCGGCAAAATGAAGGTGAAAAGACGACGACAGGGAGTCAGAAAAAAAGTGTAGTTGAATAATTCAGAAACCACCCATGGAGTCACAAGAGTCCTCGAAATGCAAACCAGACTGGCAGTCGCAAAGGTACACTAAATAAATCATCACACAGGCAGTCCAAAAAAACGACAAGGGTGATTGTAGAGGTGTGAAAAAGATCGAGGATTGACAAAAGGATCTTTATGATGGAGCTGTGAAACCACCCAAAATTTATCCCGCCTCAAACAAGTGGTCGACCAAAACGCATGGATGGATTTTAGAAGAACATATAGAACATGAGGGCGGAATCGATCGAACGCTGCACCTCTGCACTATGAGGTCAGCGCGCTATCTCGCCGACCACCGGGCCGATGCAGAAACCAGAAGAAACATATCTTTTTGCCTTTTTATCGGTGGAGAAAAAAATAAATAAAAAAATCAAATGGTCAAAAAATGTTGAAAGGACAAAACAAGGATATGAACATTTGCTTTTGTTTCTATGCTGGTCTGCCGATATATGGCTTCATGTTACTGAACACAAAAAAAAAATAAAAAAAAATTGAGAGTTGGCGAACACCAAACGGTAAGTATTGTATGTGAGGGTTCTGTGTTTTTACCTGTATGGATAGCAAAAGTGCCACCTGTTGCTTTTAGTATGAACATGCCGCCAGTGACAGTAAGAAATCATGATAATGTCGATTGACATTTTTACCACACATGCCGATGGCCTGAAGAAATGATTTTTTTTCTCCATGGTGGGTGGTGGGACCCCCCACCCCTCAGTGTTTTCAAAAATATTCGTAGACAGTAAACATACATCAGTGCCGCTTTTCTTTTCTTGTCTTCTTCCCATGTGGCCCAATCGAACAGCTGGCCCGCATGTGCTCCATAAGCCGGCCGTGGTGTGAATGACCAGGCCTTCACACTTCGCCGCCTCCCAGCGGACAAACAAACACCCGCAATGACACACACACACCCACACACACACCCACACACACACATACGCACAAGCACTTAGCAGGGTTTCACTGTGCTCAAGTTCTGCATGGTCAGTGAAGCAAAAAGGAAGCAATGTTCCCCCCATGGCTGTCTCTGTACCTCATTGTGGCACGACAGTGAGGACTTTTTAAGCGCCCGGACACACACAGACATGAGGATGTCACTGTGGCCTTGGAGTCCAGCCACCTGACGCATATAAAACATGGAGCTGCTGAATCACTGTGGAGAATATCGCACCTAAAAATACATGTATTGCCCGAATGCAATATTCCGTATTTGATACCGGGCATAAAAAATTCCGTTTTGAGACCATTGCTGGGAGCTGCAAAATGTCACAATTATCAATATCCTTTTGTTCACCTGGGCTATATTATGTCACATAGAAATCAAAAGCAACAGGATTCTTGGTTTGATATTGAATGATTGTAAAGATTGTTTGGGAAATGGGAGCGAAGAGTATGTATGCAGCCGTTTTCAGCCCCAAAAAAACAACTGTGGATAGATAGTAAGGCGTTTTGGCAGAAAAAAAAGACCATGTATAGTAAGGCGTTTTTATCCAAAAAAACGACCATGTATAGTAAGGCGTTTTTAGCCGAAAAAAACGTGTGTGAAGTCAAAATTGTCAAACTGCTATGATGTCTCCAAAAAATATCCTGTTCAATTAATACCTTTCAAATGAGCTTTCACAGGTGTAAGTCGTTTTTAGCCGAAAAAAACGACCATGTATAGTAAGGCGTTTTAGCCGGAAAAAAACGACCATGTATAGTAAGGTGTTTTTTACCGAAAAAAATGAACATGTATAGTAAGGCGCTTTTTACCAAAAAAAAAACAAACAAAAAAAAAAACGACCATGTATAGTAAGGCGTTTTTAGCCCCAAAAAACGACCATATAATAGTAAGGCGTTTTCAGCCGAAAAAAACGACCATGTATAGTAAGGCGTTTTTACCCGAAATTTTTAGCCCCAAAAAAACGACCATGTATATTAAGGAGTTTTTGGCCAGAAAAAACTACCATGTATAGTAAGGCGTTTTTGGCTGAAAAAAAAACAACAATGTATAGTAAGGCGTTTTTAGCCGAAGATTTTAGCCCCAAAAAAACGACCATGTATAGTAAGGCGTTTTTAGCCGGAAAAAACGACCATGTATAGTAAGGCGTTTTTAGCCAAAAATAGTGACCATGTATCGTAAGGCGTTTTTAGCTGAAAAAACAACCATGTATAGTGAGGCCTTTTTTGCCCCCAAAAAACGACCATGTACAGTCGGGCCTTTTTAGCCCACTGAAGTTCTCGGCCTTCCTCTGCGAAGCTTGCATGTAAAGCTTGAGAGACCATGTAAACAAAGACCTTTTTGGGTTGTTACTTAGAAGCCCAATGAAGCAGCGCCAATCTGGTTGAATGGTTAGTGTGTTGGCTGAACAGTGCAAAGGTGCAGGGTTCAAATCCTGGCCTTGCCCATCATCTGCAGAGGTCCCATGTCAAGCCTTTCTTTCACAACTTTGTAAATGAAGACCTTTTTGGGTTGTTACTTATGAATCAGAATCAGAATCATCTTTATTGGCCAAGTATGTCGAACACACCACGAATTTCTCTCCGGTAGAACACGCTGCACGAGCATCGTTGTAAATGAATTCAGGAAAGCTGGTTCGTACGTCGCCTCAACAGTGCCGAGGTGCAGCGTTCCCTTCCAGGACTTGGCATTCCTCTGCAAAGTTTGCATGTCAAGATATTTTTTGAGCGACTATGTATATCAAGACCTTTTTGGGTTGTTACTTATGACTTCAGGAGAGCAGCGCCTCTGTAGTTGAGTGGTAAGTACTGCGACTGACCAACAAGGAGGTGCAGGGTTCAATCCCAGGTCTCTGCCATCGTTTGCATGTGAAGCTGTTTTTTGAACGACCAGGTACGTAAAGGCCTTTTTGGGTGGTTACTTATGAGCTAGGGAAAGCACAGCCACCATGGTGCACTGGTTAGAGTGTCAGTTTAACAGTGAGAAGATGCCGGTTCGAATCCAGGTCTCGGCCATCATCTGCAGAGTTTGCACATCAACCTTTTTTTGAACTACCAGGTATGTAAAGGCCTTTTTGGGCGGTTACTTATGAGTTTGGGAAAGCACAGCCACCGTGGTCCACTGGTTAGGGTCTCAGTTGAACAGTGGCAAGATGCCGGTTCGAATCCAAGTCTCGGCCTTCGTCTAAGGAGGTTGAACAAATAGTAAGTCTCTTTCTCATTACAATATTTGCCGTAGTAAGGCGTTTTTTAACGAAAAAAACGACCGTGTATAGGAAGGCGTTTTTTGCCAAAACAAAACGACCATGTATATATAGCAAGGCGTTTTTAGCCGAAAAAAAACGACCATGTATAGTAAGGCAATTTTGGCCGAAAAAACAACCATGTAAAGTAAGGCGTTTTTTGCCGAAAAAAACGACCATGTTAGTTAGGCATTTTTAGCCCAAAAAAAAAACGACCATGTATAGTAAGGCGTTTTTAGCCGAAAAAAACGACCATGTATAGGAAGGCGTTTTTAGCCGAAAAAAACGATCATTTATAGTAAGGCGATTTTGGCTGAAAAAAACGACCATGTATAGCAAGGCGTTTTGAACACAAAAAAACGACCATGTATACAAAGGCGATTTTAGCCAAAAAAAAAACGACCATGTATTGTAAAGGGTTTTGAGCCGAAAAATCGACCATGTATAGTAAGGCATTTTTAGCCGAAACAAACGACCATGTATAGTAAGGCGTTTTTTTGCCGAATAAAACGACCATGTATAGTAAGGCGTTTTTAGCCGAAAAAAACGACCATGTATAGTAAGGCGTTTTTTTGCCGAATAAAACGACCATGTATAGTAACCCAGCCGCTGGGGAGCAGTGCCCTCCCCTGGGGGTACACTGTTCCCCGGTGCCGGTCCCAAGCCCGGAGAAATGGGGAGGGTTGCGTCAGGAAGGGCATCCGGCGTAAAACTTTTGCCAAGACGGACATGC